TTTCCTTTCCTTTCCTTTCCTTTCCTTTCCTTTCCTTTCCTTTCCTTTCCTTTCCTTTCCTTTCCTTTCCTTTCTCCTTTTTCCAGTTCATTACCAAATTTAATACGTATTAAAACAATCAGCAGCACAGACCCTCTTGGAGCACAGAGGAGTTTGAACTCTTTATTTCTTTTTTTCCAGGCTGTTGGGTGTTTGAGTGATCAAAAAGTTGCCCYATTACCTAGTGAGGGAAAAGCACACATATATGTTCAAAAGAAGCTCAAAGGAGTATTTCAGCAATAATATAAAATAACTCTTAGTGTAGATAYTTGCATGTAAAGTGAACTACTAATATTCCAAGATATATGAATGCTTCATATATTGGTTTTCTACGTTTAATGTATTCATGTAATCATCTCAGGAGAACGTACTTTGTGACTCTAAGCCAGACAGCAGGAAAACATAATTCAATTTTTTGATTAATTTTTTTTAAATTTAAGCCAGTTATGCAAATCAGGTCCTGAACTAGCTTTGCAAAGCATGCTTCTTTAATTTTTAATTAACATGTGTGARAACAATTAGAAAGACTCTGTTTTGTTCACAAGTATCATCAGAAAGCTGCAGCTAAATAAATTACTTTTGAGTTTCAATACATGCAGCTTCTGAAGTGATTGACTACAGAAGCTTGCAGCTAAATTTGTTCCATATTTGTTTCAAGTGCAGCACACTCCCATTTGAAAAGGATTCTCATTATAAAGAGTTAGTTAACTGAAAGACTCAAATAATTATATTATAAACCAGAACACTGAGGTTYTCTGCATTTTTAAGTCTTGTCTAAYTAAAGAAACCCAACAACAAACCAACCAGGTTTGAAACAGAGTGTACAAACAACAGAAGGAAAACTAAGCAGCCCATACTTTTTCCTCCTTTAAGGCAGCACAATATTTAAATAAATACAACTGATTCTCCTGAAATATTCCATGTAATTTGCATTAAACCCTTCCAGAATCACTGGAGTCTGCAAGAACACAAAGTAAATCTACGGGATCACTTTATTTTCCCAACGACTTTGAACAGGGCGCTAAAAAAATTTAGAAAAAAAGGAATGAGAATTCCATTAACRCTGTAGCCAAAAGGATTATGTGCACTGCTGCACTTAAGTTCTCATACCAGAAAGAAATTCCTTTAATGCTGCCTGGGAGCCTGTGGAAAGCCCAGCTCCCAAAACCCCAAATCTTTCGGTTCAAAGCCATGGCAGCAGCATCAGGGACAGGCAAAACCTCGTGTTGCAGCCACCCAAAGGCTCGAATTTCCCAGCACAGCACCAGATCCCAGAGCACAACCCAGCTCTGGTTCTGACATTGGCATTGCTGCTCAAACCCCTCCAGGATCTGAACTCGGTTTGACTCCCCTTCCTCTCTTCTCTCACTAAAAGTGGCTTCCTCTTCCCTCTTCCCTCTGCCACATTCCTCCATTAAGCACATCCTTTTATAGCAGTTGCTGGGACATGCCAGAGCTCYCGAGTAGCTCAGGGTAATCTTCGAGGAGTTACATCAAATTTCCATTCCCACTAACTCCCCCTGGTTTAGTGGAGGGGGAGCTGGAGCAAACCTTTACAAATCTCAATCAATAAACCAGAAATTGCCTTTCCTTCTTCTCCATGTCTTCCATTACAAGTTGTAGGGGTTTTAATATTTTTTTAAAGTCTGCCTGTTAGAGGTTGTTCACATGATTGGCAAATCAAGGTTTTAAARTAGCTATTGTAATTTTTAAAGACAGCAGAATTTTTTTTTTTGAGCCACATTTTTCACTCTTCTGGCTTTTGTTGCTATTATCCTGCAAGAACAGTAACCAAGTAGTAAATTAGAGTTTTAAAACTTCATATCTTTGGAGACTCATTATCTCTCCCTTGTTTGGAGAAATWGTTCCAAAATAAATAAGAGGTGGATGATGAGTGGATATTGCTTTAACAGCTGGAACTTTGCAATCAAATCAGCAAACACTGGTCAGCAAAACCAGGGATCACAGGAGAGAAACAAACTGGTGCTTCACATATTGAGCCAGGCTTGAGCTCCATGGACACCTTAGATCTGAAGAATTACACTAAAACTCAGTTTTATCACCTTGCAAGGGAGCTAAATTGTGATTTTACCAGAMAACTGGTGCATTGCTACCCCTTTTTGAGAATGGCTGGGGTACASCAGTTTGAAGGGGATGCTTGTCATGAGCATTTCTTGTTTTTCTTCCCAAACATCAAAATTACCTAATCAGTTAGATGTAATTATGACATGATCAGATAGGAAAAGCAGACTCTATCCTTCAGGGAGACTCTGTATAGAATTTTGCAATTACAGTAGATTTTTTTTCCTTTAATCAGTAATGGTGTAATTTGCTATTGCTTCTGGCRTGGTTTATTTGTCTCTCACGGGAGTAGAATTTTAAGTTCATACCTATTCTAATTAAAACCCTCAAAGGGGCAAGAATGCAAAAATTGGCATTTGCTTCTCATTTAATTTAATTTGCTTCTCACAAATACCAGAAGCAAAGCAAAGATAACAATGGAATTTGAAAAATCCTGACTACAGCTTTTGATTGTAAGCACCTAAGACCTTCTCTTAGAAATAAGGGGTTGCTTTTTCTCCTGAGAAACACCTGAAATTACTCTGGCTGAGAAGATAAAAATTAATGCTGGTGTGTGTATATTYATATATTTGTAGTCACCATCTTAGCCTTGATTTAGCTTTTTTTTCACAGAATACACAACCACCTCTCAGCCAACAGCAGGAACAGTTCAAACTTTCAGGCTTCAGGGGTTGTGTTTATGACTCTTCCAGTCCACTGAGGGCACTAAACTGTTTAT